GCCCGCAGCTCCGCGCGGTGTTGGGGGGGTGATGCTTATGGGGAACCAGGGGGGCAGAGGCCGTCTGCACCCCTTGCTGCTCTCCAGCACCCCCCAACCCCTCTCCTGGAAAGCCGGCGGGCCGGGTGGGCCGGGGAGGACAGAGGAGAGGGGGGTCAATCTCTCCCCTAAGTCATCCACCCCCCACTTTCCTCTCTGGGTCTCCTTTACAGTGTCCTCATGTACAGACAGGAGTTTGTCCCCGGATCTCCAGGACCCCATGCAGGACGACACCAAGGAAACGGACAACTCCACCTCCTCGGACAAGGAGACCACCAACAACGAGAACGAGGAGCAGAACTCGGGCACCAAGCGGAGGGGTCCCCGCACCACCATTAAAGCCAAGCAGCTGGAGACCCTCAAAGCTGCCTTCGCCGCCACCCCCAAACCCACCCGCCACATCCGGGAGCAGCTGGCCCAGGAGACCGGCCTCAACATGAGAGTCATCCAGGTAGGACAGGAGAAGGGGCGCCGCTAGGAGCCCAGGCAGCTGGAGGCTGTGAGAGTCTCCCCCCGGTGCCGGGAAGGGGTTGGGACACCGGGGTTGGTCCCTCAGGGAACGGGAACGGGCGAACCCCGCTTGTCCCCTGCCAGCGCCACCTCGGGCCCAGCCCCGCAGCCACCCCACGCTCTGGTGGGTGAGCGGGGATCCCCCAGCCCACGGGAGGGATGGAAATCATTCCCAAAAGGTGAGGAGGCAGCGCGGTTTTGCGCGGCCGAGCAGGATCCCCGGCGTGCCAGGAGATGGATGCTGCAGAAGCGAGGAGCATCCGTCCGCTCTGCAGGCAGCCGGCGCTTCCTCACCGCACTGCCCCCGCGAAGAAAATCCCTGCGGAAATGCGGGGATTAATGGGCTTTAATAGAGGCATTAATAGGGGAGGACTCTCCGGCTTCGCCGGTAGCGGAGCTGCGGTTCCCGGCTCCTGGCAGAGGGAGCACAAGTCCCGCAGGAGAGTGCTGTGCTCGTACCCCTGAGCTGCCCCATCCCTGGGGGAGTGAGACAATAATCCAGACGCCCCAAGAAGCTGCTGAGGCGTGAGGTTCGGAAGAGGCAATGCCCGTGGAGAGGCGGCCACATCTCCCCTTTCCCTTTTATTCCCATCCCTAACGCCGGCTGTTCTGACTCCCTGCCTGATGCCTCAGGTGCTCATCCCCCTGCTCCCCGCTTTTTGCCTGCCATGATCCGGAGTCCTATCCCCTTTTTTCTTCCCACGTTTCCTCCCTTCCTTCCCCTATCCATAGGGGAAATTTCCCCCTCCTACATTTTCCAGCTGCAGGGACAGAGAAGCTGAGGATGTGGGGATGCAGCCGGGGGAAGGAGGGGCAGGATTTTAAATAACCTGGTTATTTGTGGGCTGCGGTGTCCCCGTGTATTTTCTGAGGCAGCAGCAGTAAGAAGGGGGGTCGGTGTCGGTAAAAAAAAAAGAAAAAAAAATACCCAGATATCGGAAAACCCGTGCGGGTGCAGGATTTCCCCGCGCAGCCTTTGGGGGACGGGATGTCGCTGACCCCGAGGGGTCCGTGCGGGCCCTTCCGCGGTGGGCGCTGACAGCAGCCCGGCCACAGGTGTGGTTCCAGAACCGTCGGTCGAAGGAGCGGCGGATGAAGCAGCTGAGCGCGCTGGGCGCCCGGCGACACGCGTTCTTCCGCAGCCCCCGCAGGATGCGGCCCCTCGGCGGCCGCCTCGACGAGTCCGAGATGCTCGGCTCCACGCCCTACACGTACTACGGAGGTGAGGGACGGCCCGCGGGGTCCCTGCCCCGTTCCCCCCCACTCTTCTCCTTTGTTCCTCCCATCCCGTTCTCCGCGGTTTCCCCCTCTCCCCCCGGCCGTGCTCACACGCGTGC